AACGGGCTGTGAAGTGTGTAGAAGAAACTACGTTAACAATTCACGATTGTCCCATTTTAACAAAATAAGACAAATTGACTGAAAAAGGATTTTCTCAGACAAAAATCTACAAAATATTTTCTCTTTATCAAATTATAGTTGAGTTGGGGTACAAACTGTGCAAAACAATGCATATTTCCTTCTGTGAAGTTAAATTGTCATCTTGATACCACAATTATTTTTCATCTCACCGATTGGAATCTTCACATATTCGTATCACAATTTATCTCTTTCTGTCTCACATTTAATCTTTATATTCCCAATTTCATATGTACACTCACTCCACTGTGCATTTTACTTGGATTTTTTTCATGACAGGCTTTACATTTTTTTTTTTTAAATAACTACAATGACTGAAAACACACACATGTTCATAATCATGTAACTTTTTATAGTACTAAGGGGTTAACAGAGTGGAGGCGTACCCATAACCGTTTTGACGAAACATTTTTGTGGTGTTTGTTTTTCCTCGTCTGTCAACTTCAACCATGAGACAGCAGTTTCTTTTTCCTACTGGGGAAATAAAACCTGCAGTCTGCAACAACTGTTGTTGTTCAGGACTGGCAGCATTTTTTTAGGTTTTGATTTTGACACCGACTATTTGTTCTTGTTGAAACTTGTCTCATGAATCATGATCACAGATTTTCAACTTGTCATCTGAACTTTTTAATTTAATAATAATGATTTTTCTTTGCTGAAATCAGTAAAAAAAAAAGAGTTGAACAATCAGCTGCTGCACAATGTTGAGTATTATATTTGTTTATAAAGCTTTATTGAACTCACTCAAAGTCCCAAATATTTAGCAGATTTACTTTAAATACACTGAAAACAAGATCCTTCAAAATAAAGCCAAGAGACTATCCATAAATAGCCCAACAACTAATGCTGCTATAAACATTAAAGAAAAAGCTTTTGATCAATAAAACAAAGATTAATTTAACAGTTATACATATAAAGTTTTAAGATCTCCATTAGTAACAAACTGTGTGACAACACAATACAAATAGGAAAATTCATAAAACAACTTAATGTTAATAATTCATATAAAAATAATACCCTTAGAACTGAAGTTTTGCATCACATCCAAACACTGGATGAAGCCTCAAAACTGGATTTTATCAGCTCAAGACGGACAGAAGGTGCCGGCTGTTTAAAGATTAGTACTGGATGATCAGTAAAATTTAAAAAAACATACAGACCGTACCGAAATGTGGTCTAAGGTAGAGCTCTTTTTAGAGTTTTAATGTGCATGCAGATAAGAGCTTTGTTGGTGTAAACTTTTTCCACATCTTTTCTGAACTACCATGTGAATATTGTTGGATTTCTGCATTTTTTTTTTAATACAGAGAGGAAGATTCAAGGTACAGATTTACCCACAACCTGGTTCATGTCATTGATTTCTTAGTGAACAAAAACCAAGAACAAAAAGTTGTAATCCTTGAGATTTTCATGAAATCAAACATTTGATATTATTTTTATGTTCTACAATAGTCATTAGGCTGGATTCACCTCTCTATATAGTGGTTTTCATTGGTAGTGGCAGAGTCCGCCGCCTTCATAAGCACGAGGGATTCACAGGAAATGACGCATGTAATCACGTGACATTTTATGTCCCTGATAACAGCCGAGCTGTTCACTGTTCTCTCTCTTTACACCGTTATGAGAGCTGTCTTAAGTTACTGCTAATGCAAACATTTCCTACAGCTGCTTCACATTAAAAGTGTTAACCTGGAGAATCATGCATGGCTTTTATTGTGGCACGCACAGTGTTTGTCATCGCGGTTAGCATTGACTGCTACAAAACAACAACAACAATTTTGTGTTTTTATAGTAGATCACTATTCATTTTTGCATGGGGAGCAACAGAACAAGAAGCAGCAGCCACAGTAAGCTATTAGATGTTATACTTCTGTTGTATTTCTGCTGCTCAAGGAGTGTTTGCTGTAGTACTCACTACACTTGCTGTTGCCGTGGTAACCACTGGGGTCACCAAATCAACCAGGGCTGAAGTCTTAAGGATTACAACTTTAAAAAAGGACATCAAAAACAAAGTGTTCTTGTGTCGTGATATTAAAAATAAAAGGTGTTTGCAGTTGTTGGTCTCCGAACTCCTCACCGCGTTAACGGACGTCGGCCCCTTTAACCCCACCAGCGCTGCCTGGGAGGAGGAGCTGTTGTGGGCGGTGCCACGTCGAAAACCGACCCTTGTCCGAGCGATGAGCAGACGTAGTACAGGTTGACGCCCAGCATCACCAGTATGGGCAGGAAGGAGAGGCCGAAGCCGAGGGCCCTGATGCTGCTGCCGCCCAGAGAGAGGCAGAGCCAGTAGATCAGCCTGAAAACAACACGAATCATCGGTTACACACGCAGACAGGATGGATGCAGTCAGACTTAGATCTTTCTGTTTGATGTAAAACTTATAATCAGCTTGATTTGGATAAATACGGACTAAAAAGATCTGATCACTACCCACATTATCTCGTACTCCCACTCTCTCTTTTCAGCAGGAACATTAGGCGGCTTAGCTCCTTCATGCCTTTCATCCTTTTTTTGTGTCAAGTGCTTGATGACTCAAAGGATCTGGATTTATAACTCAATAGATGCTTTTTTTCCTTTTTTTTTTTTTACTCATTCTAAATTTCCCCTCATAATGTGTTTGAGAATTGTTTTTCAGAGCCCACAGTAGTAGGTAGAATTTTATAATAAATACTGTTTTTGCTGTTTAGAGTGCTACAGTAGGCGTAAGCCCTGTGTGTGTGTATTGAGAGGGAAGCCCTATTAACTGCATGCCCTTCTTACGAACACAACAATGAAAACCCACAACTTACTCAACTAACTAACTTCACAACAACTTTAATTGTTTTTATATTGTGCTTTTCATAGTAAAATAAGCAACTATTGGCCCAATCATGCAAAATAAGACTGATATGCTGTGAAACTGCCAGAATCCTTAAGCACTACTTTGCATGCCAACAGCTGAAAGTCAGAACAGGAAGCAGCTGAAAGGCAACGGACATTAACACAGACCGACTGAGTAATAAGTTAAACATTTATCTACAATTTCACTCCCACTCACAGTCAGTGGTGCTTCTGTGTCTGCAGCGTCACGTCTGTGTATTTCAAGCATGCTGAGTATGTAAAGTTTTATCACTGATAGAAATGAACGACTGAAACTACAGAACGACAGTTCTTTACTCGTTGGAAAGCTTCATGTTTTTGGCCTCGACTTATTCATTTAACTGACAAACTGAACAGGATCATGATTGTGTTGATTTAGGGATTTTTTTCCTCATTCCTACTCATTATAGCCTTTCCTTACATACAGGGATTTAAATTGTCCCCTGTCAAATGTTGAGTAAATGTTGGCTGTTTAATCTGACTCAGTTGATTGCTTTCACATAAGTCTGGTAAGTGTGGCCTCTACTCACTCCTGTGCACAGTAAGGAAACTCTAAAATGATGATAAACTGCATTAATAAAATATATTTCACCAGACATTTGATAAGCAAAACAACATTCAGATTTCAACACAACCCCCCCGTCTGTGGTTTGGATCCTAAACGTTTAAACAGCGCGTACGACAGTCTGCACACATACCTGCCGAAGACAAATATGATGGTGAGCAGCGGCACCAGCTTCACCAGGTCCTGGCTGATGTAGGTTGCCATGACAGTGAGCTGCAGGAAGAAGAAGAGGAAGAGGGCCAGAGATTCGTTGACGTAGTGCCAGTGCACCGCCACCTCTCTGTTCACCTGTTTACTCTGATAGAGGGGCTTCAGGACGCTGTAACGCAGCCGGGCCACGCCCTGCACCACCACACCTGCAGGAACACGAGGGTCAATATGACCTGGTTTAAGTACATTAAAGGTTTTTTTCTTCAATGTATAATAAACTCAACACATGAACATACTGAGGTCTTACCAAACAGGATGGGGATGATGGCGAAGAAGGAGCAGCGTAGCGTGTACACCACCCTAAGAGGGGTGCTGTCCAGCTGCGGCGAGTCAAAGGGAAGGAGGGCGTAACCTCCCCACACCAGGAGAGGGAAAAGGATCGCCGCGGCCACCGTCGCCAGAGCCACCTTAAGTCTCTCACCACACAGGCTGTCACACAGGTCTGAAAAAGTGTGGAAAATCAGTATCTATAAATGTCTTTATTGGGACACGACTGTGACAGCGAGACAAAGAGCGCGAGACTGGGACTGAACTGATAGCATGAATCATCTCAAGATGCGTAATTATATCTCATTAAAGAGAGAAGAGATCATTACAGTGCGCTACTAGACTCAGTGTGCCGTGACTTACATTTACTGAATGAAAATGTGCTCAGCAATCTGATATGCGACCTGTTCGTTTTGCATAATTGTACTTAATGACGATACTAAATAAATTAATAAATCCACAGCACAGGAGATTGTGTGTCCTGAAATCACAATGAATGTCGTTTGTGAGCATCTGTCTTAATGATAATCCTACTCAAAACTGGCCTTCATTTTATTTAATAGTAGTTGAAAGAGGATATCTGGGCAGGAAATTACTAAATAGTTACTAACAAAGGATTAAGGGATTAAGAAATCGGATTCTTGGGATGGTGGTCTGGGGGGGTTTAAGGTACCAATCATGAACCACAAAGTCTCTGTTTGAGTCCTGTCACCTCTACTCTCTCACTAATAAAAGGCTTAAAATGCCCCAAAATCCATTTTTTGGTACATTACCGTCATGTGGTAATTGGCCTTTTTCACAGCAGACATGTTGACTTGTCACAGCAGGAAATACACAGGTGTTACTAATAACGTTAACAATGGCTCCGCTCTGTTTAAGCTGTGACAGTGACAGTGATCCAGTGTGAATAATACCATCCTGTCTTCTTTATTATTGTATTTGCACCTGTGCTTTTCACACCAAATGTCTTTAGTCAAAATGTCTTCTATAAAAAAATAAAGAGGCCAACGCAGTTCCTAAGAGGGATTGGTTTGAAAACTCTTATTGGTGTGTTCAAAGAAGCTCCAACATCTGAGATTCGAGCTTTAGCCATAACTCAAACAGTAAACAGACATAAATACAGCGAAAAAGATCCTTCCAATTTGGTTGTTTCTAGTAAAGAAAAGTTGCAATGTTGGGACTTTGGGTTTACCACAAGCACTTGAATGCACCATCAGGGAAGAGTTCTCACATTTGCTTTCAGCTGCATTACCATATTTACAACTCATACATGATTAATTAAGAGTGCAAGAGTTGCTTTTAATATCATCCCGGACTGAATGCAAACTAAGAGCCGCCTGCAAGATGGGTAATAACTTCTATCAGAGAGCTGTACGCAGTCATTTGAGTATAACACATTTGTAATGAATGGGCTAAAATGTGCAAAATCCACAGTTATGGTTAAAGCTTAACGACTATTGTGCTGGTGATTTAAATCATAAGTTTCTATTAATTAAACCAGGACCTTCTTGGTGGTGGTATTATAAAATAGGGTGGAATAAAAAATACACTTAAAATAACAGGAGTGAGTGAAATGTAGGGACTTTCTTTAACAATGGACAATGTGCAGATGTATATTTATGTCTCTAACTGGCCGTTCCTGCTCAGAGGAAACAGAAATGTTACTCCTACACTCCACTGTCATTACGTACGTGTGTCTTCTGTCTCACACTCACTCCAGTAATTCTCAACAAACATGGACCCAGGTGCAGCTCAGCCTGTGTTTAATACTCACAGTACTTGTCGTCCGGTTCTGTCCACTCGGGGTAATACGTCCCCGTGGCCTCGGGCTCCATCTGCGCCTCCTTCTTGTCGTCCTCAATGAAGAGCCTGCTCTCCTCGGGAAGCTCTTTGCTGGACGGACGCACAATCGTGACTCGAGGAGTAAAACCCGGAGCTGCTTTCTTCTCTGACATCCAATTCGAATCTCCTTCCTCCTCCTCGTCGTCTTCGTCTTCGTCATCCGCCAGTGAGCCGTCCCCTTTACTGTTCCGCTGCACCTCGAGCTCGCCGTCCCTCCACCGCTCGCCCTCAGGCATGCTCTCCCTCCACTTGCTCTTCCTGTCGCTCTCCGCCCGGCTCTGCTCCTCCGACAGCTCCTGGCTTCCTCCACTGATCCCCGTGTCTCGCTCTTCATCGCTGTCCGTCTGAGGCCTCTTGTCTTTGTCTCCGGGCCACGGCAGAGTGCTGGGCTCCAGACGAGCAGAGCTGATTGCTTCCTCTTCCTCCTCTTCTTTCTCCTCCTCTTCTTCCTCCTCCTCCTCCTCTTCTTCCTCCTCCTCTTCTTCTTCTTCCTCCTCGTCTCTAATCTCTCTCCTCTCCTCTGTGCTGTTGCTCTCTCGTGTCTGTGTTACCTGCTGCTGTTTGTGGCTCTGCAGTCGGACCAGCAGGTGAAAGCGCCACCTCCTCTTCTGAGATTAATTTATCTACGGCAGACATTTCCGAGTGTTTAAATTCAGTGTTCTCTCTTTCCAGTTAATTCCTGTTGTGCCTGAAGTTACGCAAAGCTTCTTCCAGTTGCAAAAAGTCATTTTGGGTGATTTGTTGAATTCCCTGTGAAGGTTAAAAAAAAAAACGTTTAGTAGTAGTTAATCTGCCTTCAGCTTCACCAAAGACACCAAAGTTCACTCGCTTATCGCCGGGTGTGTCGGCCCTGTTATGGCTCCGCCTTGTTGCTTCACATGGCAACATTAGTGTAAAGAGCAAAGTTTGAGTTTGACAGTATGGCAGCCTTCTCCTTATTTCACCAACTTTGTTGAACAAGTCAAATCATATACTGTAATAGAAAGGAATATACTTTAAAGGCAGCGATCTAACTAAGCTTCATCAGGCTTCATTTTCGATGAATAAACATAACTTAAAGGAATAACTGAACAACATGTTTGCAGATTTCATTTTGATGTCATTAGTCAACTCTTTATGTCCATGTGGGGAAATGAGTCCTGGTGCTCTGCAGTTGCAATACATTACAAATCAAGGAGATTACAAAACACAGCAAAGACCAATAAAACCAAAGTACACACTGTTAACTAACACCGTTACCAAGCATGACCCAGGCCCAGCTGCTGCACCATTTCCACCTCCCATTAGTTAAAAGTTACAAAAGTTAGCTGACGTCTTTCTACAACACCTTTAGAACTGTAAGTCAACGAATAAGTAAAAGATCCAATATTATTAAAAACACCCTGCGTTCCAGACCCCGCCACGCTTACACAAAT